TTACATTTTATTACTCATAAAGTAAGAACTAATCTATCAGTTTTCTGAAAATTACTTAGGTATTAAGGAAATCCATTATGAAGTATTTGTTTCTACAATCAACTTTTTCTTTTTTATTGTCACATTCTATCTATCTATCTATCTGAATTAGGGCGTGGTTCAAAGCCCACTTGTACTGAAGCTCTAGGCTTATTGTGCCCCTCACAGCTTCTATCCCATCAGATTGATTTTCTTGATGAATTCAAAAATATGTCTGATACGCGCTTTCGCGATTTCTTCAGGTTCCGGATATTGTACCCCGAAGTACCATTCCCGTTCCCATTTAAGGTTCCGGCAGTGGCATAGTATGTGAATAGGAGTTTCGTCCTCCTCTTCACACATTCTACATAGGGAGTCATCAGATATCCCTAAAAGATTTAGGTGTCTTCTAAGACCGCAGTGTCCCGTAAGGGGTCCTATTACGGCCTTGAGTTCGCTTCTGCTAAGCTTTAGCAGTTGATGTTGTCTGCTCGTGGATGGCCCCTCTATGAATCTTTTGGACTGTCTAAGTCCAGGAAGTTCCATCCAGAGCCTATGGTGTTCTCTTTTTATTTGTTCCTTTAACACCCATTTAACATGTTGGTATGAGATACCACACGTGGGTTCTGGTCCAATAAGAGTTTTTTCCGCTCCCTTCCTTGCTAGGAGGTCTGCTTTCTCGTTTCCAAACACTCCCTCATGTCCTGGCACCCATTCAAGGGTGACCTTGTTATGTTCTGCCAGGGCCTGGAGGGACTGTTGGCAATCAAATACTGATTTAGATTGTATTGCTACCTTTTTCAGTGCTTTAAGGGCTGCCTGACTGTCTGTCATGATAACGATCCTCTTATCTCTAAGTCATTTGGCATGACTTTGGCGCAGGCATTTATTGATGTTACTTCAGCCTGGAAGACTGTTGTCAGTGACCCCAGGTTCAAACTAATTGTTCTTCCTGAGTTCACATGGTAGATCCCAGCTCCTGTGCTGTTTTTCATTTTCGAACCGTCTGTATACCAGATTGATTCGTTTTGTTTTTCCCTATTTTCCCGGCTTTTTGCCCTTTCTGGTATTTAAATATCAAAAGGTTTCCTGAAGTCGGGAATAATGGGCGTTCTATCCGATGGCATTCTTAGTACCGGATTTTATTTTAGTTTCTCTAATATCATTGTGTGGTGTCCTTTTCTCGAAAGTTCCCATCCAAATCCATTAGTAAAGAGCCTGTATGCCGCCGCCGTAGCCTCCTTCTCCACCACAAGGTGTAGTGGATGGAGGAAGACCTAGCAGTAGCTCCATTGCTGCTGTGGGCGTAGTTCTAAATGCCCCTGTTATTATTAGACAGGCTAGTCCATAGATTACTAATGTGAATAGATGGGAAACTCAATGGTAAAATTCTGAGTCGATGTGCTGCCATCTATCAAATTGGAGTAGTACTAAAATTCAATATGGCCGCCACGAGCGGGCTTTTTGAAATTTAACTTTGTAGTAGCGCAAAAATGTAATGAAGAAAATCAAATAAAGCAAAAAAATTGGAAAAATATTTAACTAGTTTCAAATCATAAAACAACCATATTGACTGTTTTGTGATTTGTAACTAGTAAAATATTTTGCCAATTTATATCTTTATTTGGTTTTACTTCATTATATTTTTGCATTAATTTCAAACTTGAAATAAAATGCAATTTATTTTTTTTTTTATTACAGTAAATTAACGCCGCATCATATAATTGTCTATTTAAACACTAAACAAATATGCATTTACATAATTTAAATAATTAAATATTTATAAAACAAACCTATCAAAAATGTTTTCTGTAACAAAATGCGCATCTATAAGTGCTCAAGACCTTTATAAAAGTTTTGCGACTTGGAGTGGCAAATAAGTTTGAATAAATTGAAGTTAAAGATCATCCTTTTTTACTATCGAGGCAAATTTGAGTGTGGATAACATTTGCCATATGGTTATCGAGTCGACTAGTTAGGTTGAGGAGCATTTCTTCATCCGATAATTGTTTTCTTGATTCATTTATACAGCACTTGTAGTTATCAAATTTTTATTCATCAAGTGGGCACTGTGATAAATGAATTTAACCTTTGAGCATAAATTAAACTTACACACGTTTGGACCCTTGAAGATTTTAGGGCGTTTTCTTGTTTGATGTCAATGGCATTGAATCAAGTTTCTAATATTGATGGCTGAGGTTCAAATATTTCATCAATCGACAGGTTATTTTGGAGGGCCAACATTTTCTTTACAACAATGATTATTTAAAAACTGAAAACAAAAAGAAATTTAAATAACAAACCAATTACTTTAACACTGAATCAAAAACAAGTTTGTAAATATATACTTACCGTTGGTGCCAGTGATGGAGCATTTTTCTTAAAGACACTTATTACAAATTATTTGGTTATCCTTAATATGACGACTGCATATTTAATGTGGTATAAATTGCATCACTACCAATATCTGGGAGTGCTTTATTGTTTGTTGCTGAAATCCATCTTCCCATCTTTCGAAAACATGTTTAAAATAGGAAGGTGTTGAAAAATAAATCTAGATTCTAGATGAATCAAAATTCAATACACCTTCAAATGCAATAGCCATTTTAATTTTTTGGAAGTTTGAAGTTTTGATGAGCTGACAACTGACATGACATTTCGATACGAGCGCCATCCCGTTAATTGGAGTGGTACTAAATTACCTTCCTCATGTTTTTCCATTGGAGTTACCAGCTCCTGGGCTAGTCTCTGTACCTTGTCTAATTTTCTGTTAGCTGTTATGCTTTTAGTCTTGTGCCACCATATGACTGATGAGTAAGTTATAACAGGTACTACAACCATAGTGTAAAGCCAGTGCATCATAGACTCAGTTTAAGCCCCTATGCGTTCCCTACCATCCGTCTACAGGCCCATAGTATTCTTACAGCTTTTTCTGTTGTTTTTCTATATGGCTGCAAAAGTCAAGCTTGTCATCAAGAGTGATTCCAAGATATTTAACCTCTTTTGCCATTTTTAGATGTTGTCCCCACATATAAAGCTCCTTCATTCCTTGAAGGTTCCTTTTTCTTGTGAATGCAACAGAGGTTTTTGTCGTGTTTGTGGACAATCCCTCTTTTAGGCACCATCTTTCGACGATATTTAGTGCCCGCTGTATCCTTTCGGATACAACAGACCCAAATTTACCGTTTACTACGATGCTTATGTCGTCTGCAAATGCTTGCGTGTATAAGTTTTCTCTCTCTAACTCCCATAAGAGGTCATCAACTACCAAGGTCCACATAAGAGGAGATAACACTCCTCCCTGCGGGCATCCCTTGTTAACTGAGACCTCTTTTGTTGTGTTAAGGAGATTACTGGTAATGGTTCTATGATTAAGCATGAACTCTACCCACCTCGTAATACAGTGCGGGCTACTCCACGCCTTTGCATAGATCCCAGTATTGAATTGTATGAAGCCGAGTCAAAGGCTCCTTCTCTATTTAGGAAGACTCCTAGTGCTATTTCTTTGCTTTCCAATGCTTGTTCAGCCCGTTGAGTTAGCCTATGTATGGCTGCATCGCAAGACTTTCCAGATTGGTAGGCAAACTGGTATCGATGTATCGGTTTATCCCGTAGAACATCGTCCCGTATATATCTATCGATCAATTTTTCCAATGTTTTTAGGAGAAATGATGTTAGGCTGATTGGTCTGAAAGATTTGGTCTCCTCGTAAGACGCTTTTCCGGGTTTGGGAATGAAGACCACTCTTGCACACCTCCAGCTTTGTGGAACATATCCGAGGGCTATGCCCTTGCGAGTGAATTTCAACCCCTGAATCCGACTGTGCGACTTGTGTGCTATTTGACTTACAGGTAAGAAAATCCCGGAAAACCCCACCCACCATCACAGTTTAGTATTAAAACCGAAACTTTTTAATATAATACTTAAAATTAAATATAATTTATCCATTGCTAAACACAGATGATTTTAAGTTGTAAAATAAATGAAATTATTTTATCATTTTCATTGAAATTCATTTATTTATAATTGGAGTGTGTGCAAATAACATATCAAGAACGAAAAACTTTAAAAAATACGTGTGGCACTCGGGGACTGCCGCGGTAAAGCTATTGCATAGCATTTTTTATCAACTTATGCAATTATAATTATTTATTTATTTTATTTATGCAGCATTTTTTTTCTTTGATATTAATTCTAGTTTTTTTCTTTGAAATTAATTCAAGTTACACTTTTTGAGCGTGGTGACCGATAAGAAAACAAATTCGAAAATTGTTGTTGAAGTCTTACTTTCTCGTAAGACACTGTACAAATACTCACATTTAAAAAAAAATTTTTTCTCAAAAATTTGCACGGTAAGGTATAGTTAAAAGTTCACTAATAGATAAATAAGGACATCAACTATTACAAAAAAATTAATTTTAGTCATAATATAATATTTTTTATTTAACATTGGTGGCGAAAGGACCTCCTTAAAACCGGTCCTGGTTGAACAAAACCTAACGATTTAAGTTTGGAGGGGCGCTTTTTTCCGAATTGTAGCATATCGACACTTCAATCAACGAGCAGTGGAGGTAAAGTGCCAAAGATGACATCATTGAAAAAGTCATTTGATGGATAATTCAGCAATTCATTGTTACTTTTGATTTTAGCGCGTTATTCTAGCTTGATAAAAAGTTACTTATTGTACAGTGTGACACTTCATGTGAAAACTAATTTAATGCATCATATAACATTAATCTAAATATATTCATATTACACTTGCAACAAAATAAAGTTAACAATAATGCAAACAATGACTAATGTTCACACCTACCTTTTTTTTATCACGATTTTGACCAATTACAGACATTTTCGCCATTCTGACAAAACGTTGGATAGCCTAATTACAAAAAAAAAACATTTTACTATCAACATTTAATACTTTATTAATAAAATAAAAAAAAAAACTTTATTTACAAATATTTAATATCACCGTATTTATTTTACAGTATGGTCTCGGGGTCCCAATCATACTTGTTTTGTTTCATGGTACTCAAAGTATTCATAAGATCATCGGGTATGGTAAAATCTAGCTCCATGTTACTGATAATCCTGTCCCTAGTCTGCGATTTTGGTATTACAGCCACGTTTTGTTGAACAGACCATCGCAAGAGTATCTAAAATACATAATACTACTAAAAATTCTCAACAATTTCTAATTAAATGAAAAATAATAAATCAGAATACCTAATTAAACTTAAACTTCAGTGGAACGTATTCTTAATTCTTACCTGTCCTGGGTTTTTTCCCAACTTATTTGCAATACCTTTAATAACTTTATTTCCCAATAGATCACCATTTCCCTCGCCTCCTAAGGATTGGTAAGCTTGCAGTTGAATATTTTCTTTTTTACAAAAATCATATAAATTTTTTTGGTGACAAAATGGATGCCATTCGACCTATAAAAAAGATCTAGTTTTTCGAAAATTTGTACCTGGTTGAAGTAATTAAGTAAATTTAGAATTTTTTTTTTTCTGAAAATGATAATTTTGGGAGCATACAAATAGCCTAAAAACGCGATGTAAATGTTTTGAAAAAAAAAAAAAAAAAAACTTTAAAATGCTGATATTCTCTGATGACCAAAAAATTTTATTTTTAAAAATTTTTAAAAATAGACTATTTACCTTTAAACCCATTCATACATTGCAAAGAAACGTAGCGCGTAGCAATTTCATAAAATACGACTTGTTGCTGTTGCCAGGCTGTGTAGCTTATACCTTTTATATTTAAAAACAGTTTTTACCTATAACTCACTAATATCAAGTTTTATTAATTAGAATAGTTTCGAGATATATTGCGACACATCAAGCGTCCCCACCAATCCATTTTCGTACCTAGTGCAGTGTTTCGCACTCCGGCGCATTGTAGGCAGAGTTGTTGCAATATTTCCCGAAACATTTTTGATAGTAAGTCTCTGAATAAAATGACTTGTATCAAAATAAAAAACGTATATAAAATGTGTACAAAGTACATTAAGCTATTTTAACTGCTTTCGGCAGACCTGATATTTTAGTAGCACCTATTTTTAGACTATTATGCAGGGCATTTTTGTACCTATCCTTTTACATACATACGCCTGCTAAATAACAACTTTGCAAATACTAAGTTAAACTATGGCACACGCCATTAATAGGCCTGCAAATAAATACATGGATTTTAAAAGCGTTAAACGTGACACCAATCAATAGAGGACTTCTATACAAGGGAAGTGCAACCAATCTGACAAAATAAAATTGACACTAATGACATAAAAACTCGGGTCACATAAAGAGGGTGTTTTTTTTTGTTCAAATTTTGGTTTTTCTTATCTACTTTTATGCCATTTACATACCATGTTGTACCCGTAACGTAAAAAAGACTTTTATTTTAGGGTATTTTATATTTAAATGTTGAAGACATTTATCAATATCAGCTGTCGATAATGTCAAAACATAAGCGTAGCATTGCGATTTATTTTTTTATTGTTAATAGTCTATTTGTGTTTCTTCCTGTTTCTTTAAACATTTTTTTCATTTGGTTTTATATATTTATGTCAAATGCAAAAATGCTGCTGCTTCAAATACAAGTTACATACACTATACAACCATATACAATACTAGTTACGTTATGCCCATCTATAGTTACGCCTGTGTTCTACCAAGAACATAATTGACAGCTGACACTGACAAATTATTTCAACCTTTAGATGTAAAATACCCTAAACTAAGGACCGATTCCACCGTTGTGTTAAACGAAATATAAAATGACATTTTTATGTTAACAATGTCATTTTAATCTCCGTTAACACAAAGGTGGAATCGGCCCTTAATAGCATAAAAGTAGATAAGAAAAACCAAAATTTGAACAAAAAAAACAGCCTCTTATTAGGTCTTTTCCTTTGCATCGAAAGTGTAGAACCGAGCTACACCACTTCTGAAAATATCGTTCCATTTATACAAATTGTATGGATGGAACGACATTTTCAGAAGTAACGTAGCTTAGTGCTACACTTGCCGCGTTTGAGAATCCACATCGGATGCATTTTTTACATCTCGAGCGTTTTTTCATCCACATCGGACACATCTACTACTGGTGCGTTTGATTTGATCATCGGAGGTCTCCGAGCGCTGCAAACGTGTTTGAATTGGCACTCCGAGAGATCCCTAAAGTGTTTGTTTTGCTTTGGAGCGAGAACATAGAGCGAGCTCGATGTACTCAGAGCAGAAGGATCGAGAAGAGGGAGAAATTTGTCTTTGTCTCTACCTATCTCTTTTTAATTTAGCTACAAACAAATTTGAATCTCAAAATTAAAGAACAGACAAGAAGTCAACAAATTACTTAGCCGCTTTTGTCTTATATCTAAAATTATTCGTCATAAAAAAATGTGTGTTTCGAAAATACATTTTCTATGTCCAAATCTAATCACCAGTAATCACTGTCATGGAGTATGAAAGCGAAGCGGTCATCTGTGGTATATGCTGTATTTCAGGGCCATTACCCCTTATTATTAAAAGTTTTTTAATTTTCTTTACTTTTTGCTAACTATTTTGACGCACAAACCAGAAACAAGAATCACAAAAAAGCGAGGTTATGTTTTTTACTCTGTTTTATTTGATTTGATTCAATGCTCTATTGTGACGTCATTACTTCTCGGTCTACTCGACGTTCGCTCGATCGAGTTTCAAATCAAACGCCCCTTACATCTACATCTGCGTTTGTTTATCCCAGATGTACCTGTTCAGATTACATATTTTACATCTCGATTTGAAATGAGATGTGAATGAGATGTTCGTTCTATGCCAGAAAGTAAGTGTTCTGTGAAGCCTTGTTTGTCAATTTATCCTTTGTTTATGCTAGCATGAATATAAAAGTGATTAGTTTGTTTAACTTTTGTTTATATTTCAAATTTAGATTGATTTGTAGTCTCAAAAGTCAAATTTAATAAGTATATACCTCTAACTTGTCATTGACATTTTATCACATGACCAAATAAAGTCTAGAGCGTTTGTTTATTACATCTACATTCAGATCTAATTCTCTATCACGTGATAAAAAATTCACATCTCATATGCATCCGATGTGGATTCTCAAACGCGGCAACTGTCGATGCAAAGGAAAAGACCTTATAGGGGCGTTTGATTTGAAACTCGATCGAGCGAGCGCCGAGGAGACCGAGAAGTGATGACGTCACAATAAGCATTGAATCAAATCAAATAAAACAGAGTAAAAAAAATAAACTCGCTTTTTTGTGATTCTTGTTTCTGATTTGTGTGTTAAAATAGTGAGCAAAAAGTAAAGAAAATCAAAAACTTTTAATAATAAGGGGCAATGGCCCTGAAATGCAGCATTTACCACAAATGCCCGCTTCGCTCTCATACTCTCTGACTGTGATTACTGGTGAGAAAATCTGGACAGAAAAAATGTATTTTCCAAACCAAACACACGTTTTGTGTTTTTTATGATGAATAATTTTAGCTATAAGACAAAAGCGGCTAAGTAATTTGTTGACTTCTTGTCTGGTCTTTAATTTTGAGATTCAAATTTGTTTGTAAGTTAATTAAAAAGAGATAGGTAGAGACAAAGACAAATTTTTCCCTCTTCTCAATCTTTCTGCTCTGAGAACATCGAGCTCGCTCTATGTTCTCGCTCCAAAGCGAAACAATCACTTTAGGGATCTCTCGGAGTGTGTCAATTCAAACACGTTTGAAGCGCTTGGAAATCTCCGATGATAAAATCAAACGCACCATTGATTCAATGCTCTATTGTGACGTCATCACTTCTCGGTCTCCTTGACGCTCGCTCGATCGAGTTTCAAATCAAACGCTCCTTAAAAAGAGATAGGTAGAGACAAAGACAAATTTCTCCCTCTTCTCGATTTTTCTGCTCTGAGAACATCGAGCTCGCTCTATGTTCTCGCTCCAAAGCGAAACAAACACTTTAGGGATCTCTCGGAGTGTCAATTCAAACACTTTTGAAGCGCTCGGAGATCTCCGATGATCAAATCAAACGCACCATATGTGACCCGATTTCTTATGCCATTAGTGTCAATTTTATTTTGTCAGGTTGGTTGCACTTCCCTTGTATAGAAGTCCTCTATTGAAAATAACCTTGTTTCATTCATACTATATGTCACGTATAGTAGTACTGTTACGACGCACCCTGCAGCTTGCTGCGATCGTCATAAGTAAAGGTACGAGTAAAAGAAGAAGGGGAAATATTCGAGAAATGTCATTCCACGTCAAGAAAAATCTGGACAGTTCGAGAAGGTTAAAGCACTGCATAAGAAAGAATCGACAGGCTAACTTGTCTTGGCGGCAACGCTACGCGCACACCGACATTTTGGAGTCCAACCTCTCAATCAAGCCAGTGGCGTCACTGTGGTCGTTTATATCGACAAAAACAAACAAGTTGCAGCAGCTCGGAATCAGTAGCGTGTGTCTTAAATTTATTTTGTTTGTGATGTGTATATTATGTAGTTATTGTTATTTTTTTAGAATTATAGATATTTTTTGACACTTTTTATATAGTAGTTGTTTTCCAGGGTTAATTTGCTAACTTTTACGTGTTTTACTATGTCTGGGCAAAGTTGTGCTGCAAAAAACTATATGATTAAACTGTATTAAAAGATTTTTTCGGTTTCTTAAAGATCCTATTAGGTAGGTATGTATGGTATACTTTAAAAAAAATCCTAGGTTATGGGTCAGTTTGTCAGTTATAAACCTATTAGTAAGATGTAGGTAGGTGCCTAGTTAACGTCACATAAAGTTTAGTGTCAATTTATATTTACTTATGTAGGTATATTATTAAGATTTAAAGTAAAATGTTATATTTTAAACATCTGCCGTATGGAGTTGACAAAATAGGTTTACTATATTAATATGTTAGGTCAGGTGTACAGGGTCTTAATAAATGAAGAAACTTGAAATTGACAAAAGGAAAAAATCTGTATTACCTATTGATTTTACGAAAAAAAGTTTTCCTTCATAACTTTAAAATGAAACTTTAATATTTTTTTCAACAAGCAGTATTTTTTGTAAGGAATTACTTTTTTTTCTGAAAACAATGAACATTATATCGTAATTGTGTTATTCCCAAATATTGAAATGCTTAACAAAAATTTAATTCTAATATTCATTTTGATAATAATTATTCTAGATATGCGAATAACAAAGCTTTATAATCTTGATAAATCTAAAGTATTTTCATTACAAAAAGCAAGAAAATCTTAATTAGCCATTAAAGAAATAATAAGTAGTAAATTAAAAATTAGTAATGAGTCACATACAATCAAAATCATGTGTATTAAGCAATGTTTCGCTTTCAACGATTGTTTTTTGTTTTTCGTTTCAGGATTTATGGCTGGAACTCTTATTTTATTTCGCACGATTCTAGAATAATTTTGTTTGTTTTATGTTATTTA